TGGAGGCTGTAAGGAGAGTATCTGGCCAGGTACCTTAAATTTGCTCTTGCAGAACTGAAAGCTTGTACATTTAACCAAGGGCCAGCCAGGTTGTGGCCCCAAAGAGAGGGAACAGGTGGGGCTGTGGGGTTATTCCAAGGCTGCAGATCTTGCCTGATCCTGCCCACTGCCTTGAAAATCTGGGCCTCTGTCTTAAAGGAGAATTATTCAGAGTACACAGTGGTCTAGAGGAAACAGGTTCATTACTGGAGAAACTGCCAACTGATCCAAAATCCACTGGCCTTCACTGAACACCTACTGTGTACCAGGCACCTCCACAGACATCCTCTTGTAATCATCTCAAGGACCCTGGGAGGCAGGTGGATTGATCCCCATGCTACAGATGAGGAAACCGAGGCTGATGGAGGTTTAGCAGCTTGCCTGGAGCCACAAAGCTAAAAAGAGCCAGGTTAAGATCCCAAGTCTGGCCGTCCCCCAGTCCAGCCCTCTATTCACTACAGAGCTTTCCAGTGCAGAGAAGGAGGCAGGGAAGGGACTTGAGAAAGGGGAGCCCCTTCTCTGAGCAATGGAAGCCATGTTTGAGCTTAGCTCATTCCAGGACGTGAGTCATAGTGAGAAGCCCAAATTAATCACGAGACAATGAAGGCTCTAACTTGGAGAAATGACTCCACAGGCTCCACAGGAGCTGCAGGCAGTGGCTCAAAACAGGCTGGTCCAGCCCCGCAGAGTTCCACATTGCTAGAGGGCATCGTCCGTCACTGCTCCTCTGCGTTTGGGGCCACCCAGATGTAGAATCAGGACTACCCTTGGACCTCTGATGCCAGTTAGGGCTGCCCCACATCAAATCTCAGGTGAGATTCAGCAGTGACTTTTTAATCTGGAAGGGACCTTAGCCACTGTCTAGTCCACTATTCTTACCGCACAGATGGGAGATGAAAACCTCAAACAGAAAGGAGTTGCTCGGGGTCACACAGGGAGCGAATTCGCCACCCAGCCAACTCTCCAGTCAAAGCGTTCTGCATGCTGCCTTCCCTGCCTCCTCCTCCCATTAGTGCCAGTGCCCTCCGCCGCTCACTGCCACACCCCCGACCTGGACGCCCCCTGTTCCCTTCATAGTCACACAAGTCATCTCATTACTTTCTCCTTATACACCCAAGCGCAGCACCAGGAAAACTACAAATTAGCATTAAAGAATGACCACTGGTGGCTCACGCCTGTAATCCCAGCACTTTGGGAGGCCGAGGCGGGTGGATCACTTGAGGTCAGTAGTTTGAGACCAGCCTGGCCAACATGGTGAAACCTGTCTCTACTAAAAATGCAAATATTAGCCAGGCGTGATGGCACACCCCTGTAATCTCAGCTACTCAGGAGGTTGAGGCAAGAGAATTGCTTGAACCTGGAAGGCAGAAGTTGCAGTGAGCTGAGATTGTGCCACTGCACTCCAGCCTGGGCGACAGAGTGAGATTCTGTCTCAAAAAAAAAAAAAATTAGCTGGGCGCAGTGGTGGGCCCTTGTAATCCCAGCTACTCAGAGGGGCTGAGGCAGGAGAATCGCTTGAACACGGAAGGCAGAGGTTGCAGTGAGCCGAGGTCATGCCACTGCACTCCAGCCTAGGTGACAGAGTGAGACTCCATCTCAAAAAAAAAAAAAAAAAAAAAAAAGAGTGACTGTTGGGCCCTCACTTCCCCCAAGTCTGTCTTTTTTTTTTTTTTAAGATGGAGTCTCACTCTGTCGCCCAGGCTGGAGTGCAGTGGCGCAATCTCGGTTCACTGCAAGCTCGGCCTCCTGGGTTCACACCATTCTCCTGCCTCAGCCTCCCAAGTAGCTGGGACTACAGGCGCCCGCCACCGTGCCCGACTAATTTTTTGTACTTTTTTTTAGTAGAGACGGGGTTTCACCGTGTCAGCCAGGATGGTCTCAATCTCCTGACCTCGTGATCCACCTGCCTCAGCCTCCCAAAGTGCTGGGATTACAGGCGTGAGCCACCACCACGCCCGGCCCCAGTCTTTATATCTTAAAAGAGTCTTAGAATCCCTCTCCCTCTCCCTCTCCCTCTTCCACTCTTTCCACAACACACAAGTACCTCAACGACCGCTGGGAAAGGCAGTCATGGATTCACATATATCATTAGGTTTGGACTCAGATAGGCAGACTTGGGGTCTATCTAATTCTAGATCTGACATTTAGTAACTACATGACCTTGGGATAGTCACTCAACTCTTCTGAACCTCAGTTTTTTCATCTGTAAAGTGGGGATAAGAATACTTACCTTCTGGGCTGGGCCCGGTGGCTCACACCTGTAATCCCAACACTTTGGGAGGCTGAGATGGGAGTTTGAGACCAGCGTGACCAACACAGCAAGACCCTGTCTCTATAAAAATAAAGAAAAATAAATACAGTTATCAAAATACTCACCTTTCAAAGATGTGGCAAGGATGAAGAGAAGCTGATGGCTGTGGAGTCCTTCACACAGTACCCAGAGCAGAGTGAGCCCCGGAAATGCTGAGATAGACAGAGAGAAGGAGGGAGGAAGGGAGACCTACAGGCTTTTCTTTTTTCTACGACAGTCGTAATTATTTCATGCACAAATCTTGTCTCTCCACTAGAGCTCCCTGATGCTGAAAACCCAACTTCTGCTTCTGAACCCCTACCCCACCCAGCACAGGGTTTACATCATAGTAGGGGCTCCGAAATCCTTTGTCTCTCTGCCTATTGTTACAGAAAGACCAGCTTGATAGGGAAACCCACAAACCTGGATTGTGGCACCAGCAAACCTCCTCTCTGGCAAGGAGTTCAGAGCGGCTTTTCATGGGGTCCCTGGGAGGCAGTCAGGACCAGCTCCCCATCATTTCACAGATGGGCAGACTGAGGCCTCGGGCCACAGCCTAGGCAGCAGTGCCAAAGACCCAGAGTCCTGAGCGTCAGCCCTCCCCCACCACCAGGGCTGCAAGGCCAGCTCAGCCTCCGGGTCCACTTAGGTCCTCCTCCTGTTCACATTCGAGCCCTGTGTTGTGATGGCACTGCTGGGATGCTCTCTTGATGCCTGCTTTATTTTTAGATGCTCTAAGACTGTTGGGGAAGAAGAAGAGACCCACTTTCCTGTTCAGAAACGTTGTCATCACTTTGAAAACGCCTCCTCCGTCTGTCACAAAAAGGCAGCTGGGCCTTCCACTTTGCAGTGCCACAGCTCCAGAGCCATACATGCTCCCATATCCTCCAGGCAGCCTGGCCCTTACCTGAGCACTCCCCAGTTTATCTCACTCTCTGTTCCTTCTCTCTCAACCCTCCACCAAACCCCTGGGGCCTGGGATCCATCTTGTTCTCCCTCCCTCCACCCTGGCTTTGCATCTGCCCTTGCTTCAGCCTGGAAGCCCTTCCTTCTTGCCTCTCTCATGGGAAAGAAGGAACCTACTCACCCTTCAGGGCAGCTTAAATATGAGACCCAGGCGATCCCCTGGTCTGCACCCAGAACTTCTCTTTTGTAACACAGTCCACATATTTGCAACTACTGAAGAATTGACAGGCCAGGCAAAGTGGCTCATGTCTATAATCTCCGCACTTTAGGAGGCCAAGGTGGGAGGACTGCTTAAGCCCAGGAGTTCAAGACCAGCCTAGGCAACATAGTGAGACTCCATCTCTAACTAACATAGAAAATTAGTTGGACATGGTGGTGTGAGCCCGTCATCTCAGTTACGCGGGAGGCTGAGGTGGGAGGATGGCTTCAGCCTGGGAGGTTGAGGTTGCAGTGAGCCGCGATCATGCCACTGTACTCTAGTTTGGGTGACACAGCAAGACTCCACCTCAAAAACAAGAATTTGCTATTAATTTCTAAATGACTTTTGCCTTTTATATAATAATTTCATCCCTGTTAGGTTGAAAGATCCATGATACTAAGCCCTGCTCCACCTTGATCCCCACCATCCCCAGTGCCTAGCAGAGCCCCTAGCACATTGGAGGTGCCCACTAAACATTTGTTGACTGAGTGATTCACTTCGAAGGCCAAGGAATGCTCCCCGCCTTGAGTGTTGCAATCAGTTCCTGTATGCGATTCCATCCAGTCCTCACCACAGCCTCTGAGCAGGGAGTGGTTACCCCCCTTTCACAGAAGAGAAAACAAGCTTGGAGTGGTGAGGTGACCTGCTCCAGGTAACACTAGGTGTGAGGGTTGGGATGCGAATTCAGGTCCCACATAAGCACCCTCCCCATCAAAACGCCTTCCCCTGAAGGCTGTTAGGGGAAGGTCACTGTGCCATCTATCCTCAGCCCTTGGGGACAGCCCAGACCTGTCCCAGGCTCCAAACAGGCTAGAATCAGTCCACTCTGCAGAGGACCCAGGTGCTGTGGGGCCTCCTCCTTCTGCCCACCCAACCCCGACGAGGTGCCCATGGAGGGTCTTAGGCTGCTAAATCCCTCCCAGGGCGACTGTGGCGCCCCAGCGCCCTCTAGTGGTGGCAGGAAGAGTCTGTGGGGAGGGCAAGGAAGGGGAAAGGGAAGGAAGGTTGCAGGAGGGAGGAGGTGAGGAAGGAGAGAGAGGATAAGAGATGGGAAGAGAAAGGTGGAACTGAGAGAGGGAGGGGGAGAGGAGCAAGAGGAGGCAAGTGGGGCACTTCGTCCTGGGCCCTGGAGTCCCTTCTCCTCTCTGGTGCTCCCTCTGCCAGCTGCCATCCTGGGTTTCTGCCCTCCAGCTGGCCTAGCCCTGGGGACCTGAGAGGGACATCCCTGTTCCAGGGAATTGCTGATTCGGACAGTCCATCTCCTGGCCAAAGCCCTCTCCCAGCTGAAAAGGGGCTGGAAAGAACTCCGTCCGTCTCCTCCCCACCTCCTCTCACCCATCAGAGCCAGTAGGGGCTTCCAGATGCCCCCCTACGACCACAAGGACACACACTGCCCAGCTCTACCCAGCCTTTCCCTTCTCCCTCCCTTTCCAGCCACCCCAAAATCCCAGCAGCTGCGGTTGCCATAGAAACAGCACCCCCCACCCCACCCCCACCCCTTTCACATAAATAAACTGCAACCTGGGGAACAGGGAGCCGCTGGAAGAGGCCGAATGTGCAGAGCCAGCTCATTCCCCGCTCCTCTCACTTCGGGATAATTAGTGCAAATTAAATTTCACACCCCTTCTCCCGAGCAGTTAGAGCTCCCTGGGAATGGATACTCACGATTCATGGGGGGAACATGCTCAGATGTCTCTTTGTAATGTGCAAATACAAGAGAACATTTCTCAGCTTCGAATTCTCAATGATTCCCCAAAGTCGGCACTAAGGAAGGCACGCAGGGCCAGGAAGTAAGTGTGCATGTCCGAGTGGGGTGGGGACAGGGCCCCTCGGAGACAGGAGACCTGAGTCCAACACACAGCTCTGGCACCCTTCCTCCAGGTTTTCTCACCTGTAAAGCCATAAGGAGAGGCCAACTCACTGCAGAAAAGAAATCTTCTGGTCACCAGAGCCTCCAGCTCAGAAGGGTCCCTTCTTGGTTGAAGACTCTGCTTTCTAATTTTTGAACAAGAAGCCCACATTTTCATTTTGCAATGGATCCTGCAAATTTTCCAGCCGATCCTCCTTGCACGCGTTTACTTATGCATATTAAGTATCTGGGTGAGCAAGCATGCACAACACTCCTAGATGCAAATAATAATAATAGCACCCGCTGTGGGCCAGATGCTGCTCTGAGTGCTGTATATGCCTTCATCCTCACAGCAAGCCTGTGAGTGGTTTAACACAGGGCTTCTCCAGTGTTAAGGTGCCTGGGCCTGGGGATCATGCTGGAGTACAGGGTCTGAATCAGCAGATCTGGGGGAAGGTCTGTGACTCTGCATTTCTTTCTTTCTATTTTTTTCGTTTTGAGACAAAGTCTCTCTCTGTCGGCCAGGCTAAGGTGCTGCGGTGCAATCTCGGCTCACTGCGACCTCCGTCTCCCGGGCTCAAGCAATTCTGCCTGAGCCTCCTGAGTAGCTGGGATTACAGGTGTACGCCACCACGCCCAGCTAACTTTTGTATTTTCAGTAGAGATGGAGTTTCACCATGTTGGCCAGGGTGGTCTCAATCTCCTGACCTCAGGTAATCTGCCCAGCTCGGCCTCCCAAAATTCTAGGATTATCGGCATGAGCCACAATCCCTGACCGACATTTCTAACAAGTTTCCAGGGGAGACTGATACTACTGTCTCTGAGGACTCATTTGACAAACAAGGGCAGCAAGAGTGTGGCCTAGTAAAGGCCTTGGTGCTCCCATGCCCTTCTCTGGAAATGCCTAGGAGCTACTTCTTCCTCCAGGTGAGGGCTAGGAACACACGGCCAATTAATGGCTGGCAAGGGCTGGCCTCCTCCTCTTATGGTGGGCCACCTCTGTGAAGCCATTTATGATTCAGAGCTCCCCGTGGCATCAGGCTGAGACTAGACACCGGCTGACCCCACATCTCAGCTTTGAGCTTTTCCTCCAGCTCTATCCTATTTCCCACACTGGCTTGCAGTTTCTCCCACAGTAAATTGCTTGAGTAAGAATGCTTGTCTCGGGCCCTGCTTCCCAGCAACCCAACCTAAGACAGGGAAATACTACCATTTTCCTTACTTAATAATGAAACTGACCAAGAGGTTAACTTGCCCAGAACGTGTAAGTGACAGGCAAAAGTTGAACAGGCAGACTCATTCCACTACCTCTATATATTTGGATATACAATGCAAATCCGTTTTTGGACTCGCATACGTACACTCACATCAATGCACCTGTTTACATGCATGTCTATACACACAGCATATTTTTGTGTGCAAAATGACACTCATATGCACACAAGTAGATATCAGTTCACTCAAACACCCCTGAGATCTACATCCCCAAAGATGCAAATGTGCATATTCATTCATTCATTCAATTCATAAATGAATTGTCACACACGTGCTTGGACATCTTTTCACCAAGTCTCAGTGCAGACTTCGCCCCCTCCTGGAGCTTTCCCTGCCTCCCCGAGTGATATGGTTTGCATCTGTGTCCCCACCCAAATCTCATGTTCGATTGTAATTCCCAGTGTTGGAGGTAGAGCCTGGTGGGAGGTGACTGGATCATGAGGGTGGGTCCTTCATGAATGGTGTAGCACCATCCCTTTGGTGCTGTTCTCGTGATAAGAGTTCTCACGAGATCTGGTCGTTTCAATGTGTGTGGCACAGTCAGCTGGGCACAGTGGCTCATGCCTGTAATCCCAGCACTTTGGGAGGCCGAGGTGGGCAGATCACCTGAGGTCAGGAGTTTGAGACCAGCCTGACCAACATGGAGAAACCCCGTCTCTACTAAAAATACAAAAATTAGCCGGGTTTGGTGGCACACACCTGTAATCCCAGCTACTCGGGAGGCTGAGGCAGCAGAATCACTTGAACCTGGGAAGCAGAGGTTGCAGTGAGCCGAGAATGCACCAATGCACTCCAGCCTGGGCAACAAGAGTGAAACTCCATCTAAAAACAAAAAAGAAAGAAAGAAAGAGAGAGAGAGGGAAAGAGAGAAAGAGAGAAAGAGAGAAAGAGAGAAAGAGAGAAAGAGAGAAAGAGAGAAAGAAAGAAAGAAAGAAAGAAAGAAAGAAAGAAAGAAAGAAAGAAAGAAAGAAAGGAAGGAAGGAAGGAAGGAAGGAAGGAAGGAAGGAAGGAAGGAAGGAAGGAAGGAAGGAAAGAAAGAAAGAAAGAAAAAATGTGACACCTCCCCTCTCTCTCTCTTCCTCCTGCTCCAACCATAAGAAATGCCTGCTCCCCTTTCGCTTTCCACCATAATTATAAGTTTCCTGAGGCCTCCCCAGAGGCAGAAGCCTGCTCTGCTTCCTGTACAGCCTGCAGAACCTCTTTTCCTTATAAATTACCCAGTCTCAGGCATTTCTTTATAGCAGTGTAAAAATGGACTAATATACTGAGATTATGTCCAGAGTTCCTCAGGCCCCGTCCTCGCCCCTTTTTCCAGTCTGTCTCCTCTGCCAGTCTGAGAACTCCTCTGGGGCAGGGCACTTGGTCTGATTTGTCATTGTAACCACAGGGTCTGGTACAGGGCCTGGCCTATAGTAAGTGCACCATACGCATTTGTCAAGCTGAATTTAATCCAGCTCTGCCATTTACTAGCCATGTGACTTTGGAAGAGTCTCTTCCTTCTTTGCATCTCAGCTTCCTCATCTCCTCAACTCCCAGGGAGGTGGTGCTGTCAGGTAGCAGGTGACCCCGTCCAGTCTTAAGAAGGTACTAAAAAAGATTTCTTAAAGGACAGGAAGGGACATTGAGCTGAAATTTGAGGGAATATCAGGATTTAGCTAGGTGAAGAGGGAAAAGTATTCCAGGCAGATGGAATAGCATGTGATGTGCAAAGGCTAGGCTCAGAGGTAAGAAGGAGCTGAAAGGAGAAACCTGTGTGCCTGGAGTGCGGTAGGGAGATTGCCCATAGAGAGGTGCTGGGGAGCCACAGTTTGCATTTTATCTTGAAGGCTATGGAGAGTCATTAAACATTTTACTGAGGACAGCTGATTTGGGTTTTTAAAAGAGCATCCAGGCCAGGCGCGGTGGCTCACGCCTGTACTCCCAGCACCTTGGGAGGCCTAGGTGGGCAGATCACCTGAGGTCAGGAGTTTGAGACCAGCCTGGCCAAAATGGTGAAACCCCATCTCTACTAAAAGTACAAAAAAAATAGCTGGGGGTGGTGGCACATGCTTATAATCCCAGTTACTTGGGGCTGAGGCAGGAGAATTGTTTGAACCCAGGAGGCAGAGGTTGCAGTGAGCGAAGATCGCGCCATTGCACTGCAGCCTAGGGGACAGAGCGAGATTCCATGTAAAAGAAAAAAAAAAACACTCAGGTTGCTATGCAGAGACTGGATCAAGGCTGAGGTTGGAGAGCAAGAATGGAAGTGCAGACACCATTTGAAACACTGTTGCCAGGAGTCAGGCATGGACATGAGATGACAGTGACTGGGATTAGGATGGGGTCAGCTGAACCAGAGAGAAGCAGATGGTTTCTACACAATCAGAAGGTAGTACCAAGAGGTCTAATAACAGCTTGAATGTAGAAACTCAGGGAGAAGGAAGAATTGGCTGGACACCCCAGACCTCAAATGGACCCCCATTTGACAGATCTTCCCTTATATACTTCCCTGCCATACCCATCCCCATGGGAAACCAGGGAGCCAGTCCCCCTCTCTGCCTCTGGTCTGCTCCCTTCATCTTCCCTGACCATAGCCAACCCCATGAGTGTTCAGGGCCAACTCAGTCAGGGAGCTGTTCTGCAGCCTGTCTGGTCCTTTAAAGTCATGAAACTTTCGTCCTTTCCAGCTTCATCTCCCACAGAGTTCTCTAGGCAGGGCTCCACCACAGCTCCCAACTCAAAGACACCAGTGGGCGTTCTGCTCAGCCCACGCGGGTCTAACTTGCCCTTAGGCACCACCTGCAGCAGCAAGAGCCCCAGAACTGGAAGTTCCTGCCTTCACTGTGCCACTCACTCACTGTGTGACCTTGAGCGACTCTCTCTTCTCCTCTGGGCTCCAGTTTCTCCATCTGACAAATGAGAGAATGGGATGCAATGATGCCTAAGGCTCTGGCCAATCAGAGCACCAAATCCCCTAGGTTGCAATAATTGGTACCAAGGTGGGTGTGCGACCCAAGTTAAGCCAATGAACACCCCTCCTGGGGCTCTTGGTTGAAACTATTGCATAAAAGCATCTCACTTCTGGCAGGAGTTGCTAGTTAGCAGCATGTGAGCCTGGAGATGGTGGTGGGGGACCTCGGAAGAAAGAGTGCTTGAGGACAAAGCCGATACTTCTCCCTGAGGGTATGACTCAAGCACCTGGATCCAGCCACACCTGAAATCAGTCACATGGAACAATAAATTCCCCTTTTTGCCTAAGTCAGTCTGAACTGCATTTCTGATGTTTGTATCCAGTGGGATCCTGACCTGTGTAAGTCTTTCTTTCCACATATATGTGATATAAAGTTGAGGACCTCAACTTTAAAATATTTACTGCTTTCTCCAGTGATTCCTTTGGGATGCCTTCATTGCTCTCATCTGTTTCTCCCAGTCCCCCTATCCTTGAACCTAGCGGAGGTGCCACCTCCTCCAGGAAGCCTTCTCTGACCCCCCTACCTTCCAAAGCAAGTTTCTCTGAACACTAATCCTTCAAAAATCCCATTTTAAAAAAAGGAGTCTATGGTCAAACAACCTTGGAAAATGCAACATAGTATATCTTCCTTTCGAAGGACTTATTGCACTGAGCCCATAAAGAATCCTGAGAAGTTCTAATGCAGAGAAACCAGTTCACCTTGTCCAGTGTTTCACCAACTTACTTCCTCATGGAGCCCTCCCTTTTTTCATGGAATATCTGTTAACCCCCTGCAGGGTGAGATTTCAAGGTGTCACTTGGGCAAACACTATCTGTAACTTCCATAGATTCACTCTCAGTCCCCTTCAGGGGGGGTTTCAGCACGATGAAATGCCTACTGTGTGTCAGGCCCACAGCAAGTGGCTGGGAATACATCAATAAATCAGATATACCCAGCTTGGGAGGAATCTGCAGGCTGACAGACAGCCACACCTTACTGCTTGAGTCTGACCTGGGCCCACCAAGGCTGTATAACCTTGAGCAAGTCACTCGTCTCCTCTAGTCTTCAATTCCTCAAAGTGTAAAGTGAAAGACTGCGATGCCACGATCCCTAAAGATCTGGCCAGCCAGAGCACCAAATCCCTTAGGCTGCCGTGATTGGTTCCAGAGTGGGTGCATGACCCAAGCTGAGCCAATGAGCGTCCATCCTGGGGCCCTGCAGGAAGTCGGTTGCCTCCTCAAATCACGTGCCAAACGTGGGTTTGAACACATGGGTGCATATTTTGGAGGAAAAAGAATGTGTTGACCGGGCATGTTGGCTCACGCCTATAACCCCAGCACTTTGGGAGGCCGCGGTGGGTGGATCATTTGAGGTCAGGAGTTCAAGACCAGCCTCGTCAACATGGTGAAACCCCATCTCTACTAAAAATACAAAAATTAGCCAGGCGTTGTGGTGGGTGCCTGTAGTCCCAGCTGTTTAGGAGGCTGAGGCAGGAGAATCACTTGAACCCAGGAGGCGGAGGCTGCAGTGAGCAGAGATCACGCCACTGCACTCCAGCCTGGGCAACAGAGTGAGACTCCGTCTCAAAAATAATAATAATAATGCTTTCTCCAACACCTCTGTGACCCAAAGGAGGTTTATAAATGCTGGCAGTGATGAAAACTCAGTACCAAGAACACGTTAGGGTGAGGAACTTAAGGCTTTGTATGAAAGGGTACAGGGATTAAAACGGTGAGTGAATGAACGTGTTCAAGCCTCCCTGAATACTTTACATTCACTGAGCTGAGATGGTTTTGATTTCCTGGCAGATAAGGACTCAGTCTCTGATGAATTGCAGTGACATCATTTAATAGCTATGTGTCCTTAGGCAAATTACTCAACCTCTCTGCACCTAAGCTTTCTCATCTTGAAAATGCCCCCCGGTCTGACCTCAGAGAGGGAAGATTAAATGAAAGCAGGTAAGTGAAGTTCTTAGCCCAGAGTTGGACAAAAAAAAAAAACATTAAACAAAGGTTAGCTTGCACCGTGATAGCACAGTGAATACCAACCACAAAGAATGGTCTCGATGACAGGAATAGCAATGATCTTCTACAGAGTTTGCCTAGGTAATAATGGGGAACCCCACCCTCCATTTCCATCTCCCTCCCACCTCCTGCCCACCAAGACCTTTGCAGGCTCCTCACCCCTGCAGGGTCCTCAAGATGCCTGTCAGTTCTCCTTACCCTGGGACAGAGTTGAGGCTGATTTGGGCATCCAGGCTTCCGTTCTGATGCTCATGGCCCTTCTGGCTTTGTGCCCCGGAACTGGGAGTTCGTAATTCTTACAGTCTATCTTAGGCAGCCGATGGTCATCACCTCCTGGTATCCATGGTCTTGTGTACTGGTCTCCCCATCAGTATGCATTGGACCTACAGACTTGCTTCTAAGGAACAGAATACAACAAACACGTTGAGATACCATTTAAAAATTGGGTTTCTAAAGCCTTTGGCTTCCTTATTGCTCACTAGCCCTCTCTTGTCCCCTCTCTGCCTGCTCTGCTGGAAGCCACTGCCATGGTATGAGCTGCTCTCTTTGGAGGCCCATGTGGCAAGGAACTGAGGTTGGCTTTTGGCCAGCAGAGAGCAAAAGGTTGAGGACCTCAATCCAACAACCCACGAGGAACTGAATTCTGCCAACAGAAGGGATATTGGAAGCAGATCCTTTCCCAGGCAAACTTTGAGACAATGCAGCCTCAGCTGGCACCTTCATTGCCATCTCATGGGGGAACCAGGCCAGAGGACCCAGCTAAGCCACACCTGGATTCTCACCCACAGACACTGTGAGCTAATAAATGCTGTTATTTAAAGCCATTCAGTGTGGGGATAATTTGTTACTCAGTAATAGATAACCAATACACATTGCAAAAAAGAAGGGGGTTGATTTTGGGGGACTCAAAATCTACTCCTGGAAAGTTCACGAGTAGAGCTTCTTTTGGGTATGGTTGGATCCATCAAATGTCACAGGCCTCCTTCTGTCTCAGTCTGGGTTTATATGAGAGCAGGGCCTGAGGCAAGGGGATGCTTGCAGGTGGTTTATTTGAGAGGTGATTGCAGGAATGAAGGTGGCAGGAGATTGAGATAAGCATGCTGCCTCCAGAAATGTCTTTCTGAAGAACAGGAGCCAGGGGCACTTACCCACCAGCTCTGCACTGCACTGGTTGAGGGTGGTCCCCAAGGGTATTAATTTCCCTGAACTTCAGAGCTGCACCCATGCTCAGGCTAGCGAGCTCCTCAGCTCAGGAAACTCTTGAGGTGGATCCTGCCAGTGTGCACAGGACTATCCACTGCAGCTGTACCTGAGCTCAGGCACAAGGAGCTAATGCAGGATCTCAAAAACATTCGCACTCTCTCCTACATCCCTCAACTCCCCTCCTCTGAGATGCTTGCAGCATCAGGCAGCCTCTTCCAGAGGGCTGGCAACAGCACCATGGGCAACCCCAGGCTTTCTTCCTGCAGCCTAGCAATCCCAGGAGAAAGAGCTTCTCCTTGGTAGTTCCAGCAAAAGTCTCAGGATTGCATGTCATTGGATGACAAGGATCACATGGTCATCCCTGAACCAATTGCTGCTTCAGTTGACCGGGCCTAAGGTTTGACCCCATCCCTGTAGCCATGAACTAAGAGTAGTTTCCCTAGTGAAAATTTGGGAAGTTGAAGAAGAAGAAGCTATAAACGCTTGCCAGAAAACAGATAAAGAGGCATCAGTTACATCTACATGAGTCATGACTCATATTAATGGATTATAAGGTCAATTTATTAGGTGATAACCAGGATTTTTAAAATTAGCATTTTTAAAATTAAAGTAAAACAGTGCTTATCAAATTTTAGCTGCTTCAGAATCACCCAGAAGTCTTCTTAAAACACAGATTGCTGGGCCCTGCACCAGAGTTTCTGATTCAAAAAGTCTGGGTGGGGCCCAAGAAAATGGATTTCTAACAAGTTCTCAGGTGATGTTGATGTTGCTGGTTCAGGTACCCCACTCTGAGAACTATGCAAATACAAAATATCAGACCATACTGCAGGTAATATGGCTGTTTTATTCCATGAAACTTGTTTTAGTTACATATGTATGTGGATACTGGGTAGCCACATGAAAGGAATTCCTTTCTTTCTTTCTTTTTTTTTTTTTTTTTTTTTTTTTTTTGTGAGACTGAGTCTCACTCTGTCACCCAAGCAGGAGTGCAGTGGCACAATCTCTGCTCACTGCAACCTCCACCTCCTGGGTTCAAGCAATTCTTCTGCCTCAACCTCTCAAGTAGCTGGGACTACAGGTGCATGCCACCACGTCCAGCTAATTTTTGTATTTTTAGTAGAGTCAGGGTTTCACCAAGTTGGCCAGGCTGGTCTCGAATCCCTGACCTCAAATGATCTGCCCATCTCAGCCTCCCAAAGTGCTAGGATTACAGGTATGAGCCACTGTGCCAGGCCAAAAGACATTTCTTATTGAAATCACCCTACTGCAGTGAGATTAATTAATTTGTCCAGAATCACACATCTACTAACTGAAGGGACAGGAATTTGAAGGCAGGTCTAACAGGCTTTTGACCACAATGCTCTACTGATCATGGCACCGGCTGCACTAATTACAAGTAACTCGTCACAAGATCTAGGCTAGTTATCAAATCCTGTGTTTGCCACATGAAGAAGTTACAATACAAAATAACAGACTCCAAAATATACTGGCTTAAACAAGATAAAAGTTCACTTCTCTCTCATATGATAATCCAGAGGTCCATGGTCCAGGGCTGGCAGAGCAGTGCTGCCAGCCTCCACATGTGGCTTCCCTCCTGGGGTCCAAGGGCTCTGCTCCAGCAGCGGGAAGTGAGGAAGAGAAGGGTAAAACACACTCTCTTTAAAGAGCACAGCCCAAAGTCGCATGTGCCACTTTTGCTCATATCCCATTGGCTGGACCCCAGTCACATGGTCAGACTGGCTGCAGGGGAGGCTGGGAAATGTAGTCTTGAGCTGGAAGGCCATGAATACTAGGGGACAACTGGTACACTCTAACACCACCAGGTAGTGTGGCTTCACATGCCTCACCGAGGTGCCCACTGAGGGGGAGGACAGCCCTGGAAAGATGCCCAGGTGGTCTCCCAGTGGCAGTTTCCCCTGCAGAGCACAGAATGATGGCAATACTCCCAAAGACAGGGTCCAGCCACCTCTCCCCAGCCTCCAGCTGTGGATCTAATACTAAATCCCTACCCAGACCATTCTTGGCTTAAGATTTTCTAACAGCTTTCTATGGACAACATATTTTCCAGTTTATTCTATTGTGTCAAGTGGAGCTTTCAATTTTAAGCTTCAAAGTTTATTTACTTAGAAAATGTTTGCTTTATCAAAACAGGATGCTGTGTGGATACTAATAAAGCCTTATACCTCCAGCCGACAAAATAATCACCTCTGGCCGAACGGGAGTGAGACCACATTGGACTTTACTCCAGGGCTCAATTTTACTGGCCCTGCCACCGAACTTCACCTCCCTGTCTTATTTCCAAACTGCAGATGCCTCTTTTTCTAATTTTCCCCATAAAGCAGTGACTCATAAACAAGAACAGATTTCTCTTGCTTGCAGAAAAGGTAAATTGCTGGCAGAAATAAATTTGCAGATGCTAAAATTTCACAGGAAGGAGCTCACTGGTGCAGAGGGTTTGATATCCTGCCCTGCTCCGCTCTTCCCCCACCTATCTGTACCCTTTTCTTCCCTACCAAGCCAAGCTGGGCGCTGTTAGGGCCTTGCTGAACCCTACAGGCGTGGTGAGGAGGTGGGCTCTGCCTTGGGGAATGACTCCCCTGTTTATCTCTGGGTTTGTCCCAGTTCCTGGGCCTGGGATTGGACTGGGGGCCCCTGAGGCGGAGGACTCCTGCATCCCGGCTCCACTCAGTACGACGACCTCGATTTATGTGGGTTACTCTCAGCCTGTGGACCTGTCACTTGGTGAAGAGCAGGCCTATGGGACCTGCCCAGGGCCTGCAGGAGGTGCTTCCTCACTCAGGCAGATTGTGGAACCCAGGCCAGCAGGTGGCCAGCTCAGATGCCGGAGTATCTTCCTTCCAAGAGTGAGATCCCAGGGTGAGCTCTAGAAGCCTCCCTCTCTGACACAGAACCCGCGTCAAAGGGAAGAACGGTGCAAAGTGTCATTTCCTAAGCAGCCGCCGTGTGCTCTCACTGTGCCACGTCTCCGAACGCATCTTCCCCAGTCTTCACAAGCAAGTTCTTGTAACCATTTTTCAGGTAAGGAAACTGAGGCACAGAGAGGGGACATCACTCATCCACACTCACACTGCTCTCAAGTGACAGATCCTGGATGCAAACCACCCCTGCAACTGGTTTCTTCCTGCAGGCCTCCCTTCTTTCTCCATCTCTCCCCAATTCCTTACCCCTCATTCCGCTTCACTCCTGCCCAGCCTCATCTGGAATACTGAATCCCTCCTCCTCTACCCTGCTCTTTTCACCGTAAGCACAGAGCATCCAAGGGGGAACATTTTTCCAAAGAAAGCAAATGTAAAGGAGCCAGGGTGGGAGTAAGGAAAATCTCTGAACCCAGTAGGAAAAAATTCAGCTTCCCAGTAGAGGCAAAGGCCTCAGAGACCCAGGCCAGATGGGGCATGGGTGCCTCCTCCACCCTCAGTAAGACACCCAAGGACAAATTTGATTTGCAGTCACCCACTGCATACCCAGGGCTACCTTAGCAACTAAGTTTTAAATTTTGAAATATCCTACACCTCTTTCCCATGCCTAAAATCTTCCGGGTTGATAATGTGTTAATTTAAGCTTTTAATTTCTCTTAAAATCCGGGTTTCTGCACTCTCTCAACCCACCACCCTCCCAGGAGGGGTTAATCATTTACACTCTAGTATGAATAAGTCTCCAGCCCCTTGCTGAGAGAGGATGTTCTGAGGAGAGGTTAGCCCCAGAAAGAATCATAGGCTCTCTCAATGTCCACTCTTCTCCAGCAGCCAGAGGGACTCCAGGCTGTATCATCTCCAAGCCCTCCAGGGCCGAGTGATGCCAGATGTGGCTAATGACTACCCTGGAATACGGCAAGTCAGGTGCCTTTCCACACTAATCCCTAGCATGGCAGAGGCCTGACTGAGGTCCCCACAGACAACAGATGGTGAGCCAACTTCTGCGTTGCCATGGCAGCCCTGGAATGGGGCTGAGGAGACTGTGCTGGGTGTGCACAGACACTTATACCTAGATTACATGAGGGCACGTGGGGAGATGGATGCAAATTTCAGGCATTATCCTCCTCTCCTCCACCCCCATCTGGGGCTGCAGGACCCTTTAAAGATGCCCAGGCAGATGGGGCAGTGGTCGGAGGTCCAGGACCCAGAAATAGACCTGGGCTCCAGGCATAGGCCTGCTCCTCATCCCTGGCTAGAGCAAGGCCAGCTGCTAGGTCAAGCACAACCAAGGGGCTGCCAGGAGCCTGCATCTCCCTGCCTGGCAATTCAAGGACTTATTCTGTGTAGGACACTCAAAGACAACAGGAGTCCCAGAGGCAAAAGATCTTTGGGGGCCAAAGGTCAGATTGGTCAAGAGAGGCCCCTAGGACTTGCCTCTCTTGTCGCCACCAGGAGTCTCTGAGCGGCACCCGGGGCCAGTGCAGGACCCAACCCAAGCTGATCCACCCACCTCCAGCTCCTTGAGGGCAATTCCCACTCCCTGGGCCTGTCTGAGCTGTGAGAGCAGGTGCCATCGAACCATGATCTGGGTCAGGCTATCAGAGTTGAGCCACAGCCCTGAATCTTGAAGCCCAGCCCCAATCCACCTCCAGAACCAAGCCTGGTTTTCAGAGGACTGACTGCGTGCATTCACGGGATGCATTCACACCGTGCACACGCACAGAGTTCACACGTAGTGCACCCGGTATATACAGGACGCACTCAGGGTGTGAGCACATCGTGCATCTGCCCCAAGGGTTCCCTTATCCACCAGTGCACGCACACACACTGCGCACGACTTGTGCACACAGCACACGCCTAGGAGGCCCACACACCAGACAGAAAAAGGATACAGTGAGAACTTATGCGAACACACCCACGCGCCTACGTGCAGTATACACAGTGCATACAGTATAAATACAGCATGCATGGAATAATGCGCATATAGTGCAACAGTAGAGCAAGTTCACACTGCACAGGCACACACATACATAGCAGCATTCGCGCACACGTGCGCGCGCGCGCGCGCACACACACACACACACACACACACACACACAGTATCTTCCGCTCTGCAGGGTCAGCCCAGGGAATGCCAGAAAGAGTCAGGAAAATCCCTTCCTTCCTCCCTGGAGGTGAGCTAAGACCTGAAGGGTCATTCGCTGAGGCAAGTTGGGACCTGGGGAATTCCTGACTCAGCATCTGGGCCAGCCCCTACAGACAATGAGGTCAGGGACCTGTTCTCCTAAGAGAGGCCTGGGAGGGAGTATCCTGGCCTAAGCCAGGCCCAAGAGCCTTGTAATCACCTGGGACAGAGGTGGGGCTGGAGGGCAGAAAGGCGTCTGGGGTCTGGGCCTGTCTTCGCCTCTACGCAACGGGGAATTCTGGACAAGGTCCTTCCCATCCTGAGCCTCAGTTATCCCATGATACCCAGAGGGAATCACCTTGATCCTTCTTGTCCTCATGTTGAGGTGTATGTCACATGGGTCCCTTGTCACCTAAACATCTGACCCTTGGCCAGGCACATTGGCTCACACTTGTAATCCCAGCACTTTGGGATCCCAAGGCAGGTGGATCACTTGAGGTCAGGAGCTCAAGACCAGTCTGGTAAAACCCTGTCCCTACTAAAAAAAAAAAAAAAAAAAAAAAATTACAAAAAATTAGCCAAGTGTGGTGGTACATGCCTGTAGTCCCAGCTACTTGGGAGACTAAGGCACAAGAATCGTTTGAACCAGGGAGGCAGAGGTTGCAGTGAGCTGAGATTGTGCCACTGCACACCAGCATGGGTGACAGAGCGAGACTCCATCTCAAAAAAAAAAAAAAAGACATCTGACCCTACTAGATGGTGAGCCCACGGTCAGGGTGATGCCACACCTCCCTCTACAGGATCTCCCCAGCAGCGGCACTGGATGGGACTGTGGACAAGAACAGGAAGAGGCTTTCACCACCCAGGGAGAGCCTAGTCCTTCCATCTGGCCTGTGCAGGCTGGAGGGTCTTGCCTGGTCTGCTCTTTTGAGCCACCAAAGCTCAAGCCCAGAACTCGTGTACCTTGCTAGGACACAACGATCCTAGCATGACGCCAGAAGCACCAAACTAGAGGTCAGAATGTGTAGGTTCCAGCCACTGACTCTGTGTGACCTTGAATAAGTCCTATTTTGTGCCTCAGTTTCCTCATCGTTAATACGAGGAAGTTGAACTAGAACTGGTCTCCGAGACATCCCATTGTAAGCTTCCTTGTCACCTGAAGCAGGTGATCTGCGCTGGAGCAGGGAAAAGGAGAATCTGCCAGGGAAGGCTCCTCTCCCAAGCTGAGATTCCCTGAGCATCCTTCAGGCAGGCGCTGGGTCAAGCCCGTTCTGCACACAGTCTCATTGACCAGGAAGATGCCACTGGGATCTCCAATGTGCAAACCAGGACGCAGCAGCTGAGGAAGGACCCAAGGTCACACCCGCGGTGAGTGGCAGAACCATGATTGAGTCTCACACGTATCTGATAATTTAGGCATAGCTTTACTAAATTCTTTACACGTATTAACTCACTTCATCCCCACAACTCCAAAGGTGGGTGCTATGATTATCTAGATTTTGGAGAAAACAGAGGCCTGTCTGTTAAGTAACTCGGAAAAGCCACACAGCTAGAATGTGGAAAAGCTGAGATCTGAAGCAGGCACTTTCCGCCCAGAA